ATTTTAAATAAAATTTATATGTTTAACATAGTATATATATATATATATATATATATATATATATATAACTTTTTATAAAATTTTCCATTATACAACTAGAAGCAGTCAAACCATAAACCATTAGCCGATAATCAAAATCCAAAATTTGGAGTGTCACTATTAATCATTCAATCTCAAGCTAGTTAACTAGAACTCTCACCAGTTACCTCTTCCATAACTAGAGGCTTCTCCTAAATCTTCCTTATCATCTCATCATCATCAAACCTTTGTCTTTTCTTGAATCTCCTTGGCAACAGTTTCTTTTTCTTCTTCCATGTTCTTGTTTTCTTTATCTTTGGTGCAGAAGTGATGGAAGTGAGTTGATTGGCATGTTTCCATCAAGAAGATGAAGGGTTTTGTCGACATATCCAAAATTCCAACCCAAATGAAAAAGATGCTTCTTCGCTTTCAGGGATATGTCCCTGCTTAAGGCACAATGGCACTTATAATCGGGCAGTGACGCGAGGATGTACCATTCATGCACCGCTTGAGGGCAGTTTTCGCCTTGAATGTTGATCTCAAGAAGAGCTAGTGTGAGATAGCTACTCAATCCCACATTCTAAGATGGTGATGGGTTATCAGATGAAGATGATGAAGAGGAGTTGGGAAAAGCCTCTAGTTCTATATGTGGAAGAGGTAAGAGTTTATGATTAATTAGAAGATTGAGACAAGATATGGATTTTTCCCAATACATGAAGAGAGTGTGATACTTAACCTTTTGAAAATAATGATAAATAACATATTAACAATGGCTGTCTATATGCTAATATGAGGAGATGAAAACGTAATACAGTATATTTTACAAAAAGAATGGGATTCAAAATCTCACGTTCAAGTTAGTATCGAGCTTTCCTAGGGAATAAGTACAACAAATTCTACAAAAAAGACAATTAAGTGAAAGAAAAAAAAAAAAAAAAAAAAAAGCAAGATAGAAAGACCACAAACAATTACGAATCAGATTACTCTGCGCTTGTATTTATCATATCATAGAGGTGGGTAGAAGTATGAAGATACGGAAAAGCCGAGGAAGAGCAAGCCACCAACAGTGGCTACTGAGCGTTGGGAAATCCTAGATGCCAGCATGCTTCCTCCCACAACTGCCAGTGAGGTACAAATGGTGTGTCCTATAGTGGCCCCAACTGCAACTCCCAGTGCATTTTTGTGGGTCGCCAGCTGCAGAGGGAAATTAAAGGAAATGAAAAATAGAGAAAATAAATTACTGATGCAGCCAACAAACTAAGACATAGAATCAATAATGATAGCTGAAAATGTTCAATGATCTACAGGGGATCGGTTTTCCTTACAGCAATGGTTGCTATCTGGCTACGATCACCCCACTCAGCAAGGAATGTTAAAATAAAAGACTGCATGAAAAAGAAGATAGAATTAGACGCAGTGTAAATGTGATTATTATCTCGGTCCAATAAATTATGCAAACGTTGTACTTGCCTCCAAAAATATAGGTGTACAAAATCTTGAAAAGAAGCGCCGAACTGAAGTTTTCCCTTGTCCACCTTCCAGTTTTTCTTCAACCTAGTTAACAAGAAGAATAAATTCTTAGCCTGTACCTGATTTGACCCGGATAGTTTTTTTAAGAAAGAAATAAACCAATCAATACATCAAATATTAAATCCCAGCCAGCTGCAGCATGTCTACAGGTAATTAATTGAGCTCCCCTCCCCCTGGCAAGTGCCAGGAGGTGTAATGGAGAAACTACAAATGAAAAAATAAAGCAGCAAAGAAACTAGCATCTTTGTGAAGGAAGATGCTAAATCTTAGCATATTTTAAGATTTGAAGTGTTATCAACACACTCTTTACTACACTCCTTTCAACACTCATCCATTAAAATTTATTAAAAACTGCAAAATGATTAGCAAAATTCATTAAACAAGGAGTGAGACCCACACAAGTTTGTGATTTCCAACAAATTTCAACCAATAAAGGATGTGTCAGAAAAATTGTCAAAGAGTGTGTTGTTAGCATTTTTCTTTTATCATCAAGATAGCCCATCTTCGTTATTTTTCTATACAGAGTTGATAAAAACATACCTCTTCCATTTCTTTCTTTTGTGAGGATTTTGAATCTGATGATCTCCATGCAATGTACAGTAACCTTAACCCAAAGAAAGCATAAAGAACTGCAGGTGACAAGATCGGATAGGGTTAGCTTCATCTTACACAAAAATTGAACTTATAAATGAAAGAAAAACCCATCCATACATAAACACGAGATAATGAATAGAAAATTGGAAACAAATAAATCACAACTGTATAAATGTAATCCAAAAGCAAATGCCTCACAGAATTTTGACTTATAAAACCACAAACAAATTTTAACACAAATGACAATAATTATTTACAACTTCTGACTTTCTATTGCTCACAAGAATTTTCAATAACTGAATACAAATAAAAGACTACCATTTGGAACAGCCACAAATAAACAACCAATGAAGCTAAATCCATAATAATTCTTTATACTAAACACAGTCAAGAATTCGAGGAAACTCCAAAGGCTAGGCACAAATGGAATGAAATAGACATAAGCAACTAACAATGAAGCATAAAATAGTATCTGGAATTAAACAGCATCGATCAGGCACATTGTCAGATCCCTAAAACATCTGAACAATGCTAATGTGCAGAGAGCAGACTTAACCATTATAATTCATAATAATTACTTTTAACCTACTTCTTTGCCAATTTCACAAGTTATAAAATACAAATCTGCTCAACAATAAGCATCAAACGCAGGAATTGTACCTGTAGCAGCACTATTTGTATGCTTCCTAGAAATCAAATTTGGCACAATCCTTCCTAGGCCTGTAGAAAGTACCTAATTGACACGTACAATAACTTTAATCCTGATAACATTGATAAGAAAAGTTAGAGCACCCAGAAATAGTGCTCTGTAGTTGTAGAAACCACTCCATCATATCAGCATAAAAAAAAATATAAAAAAAAACAGCTTCCCGTGACGAGAACAATAAAGCAGAAAAATTAAAACCAAAAGTCAATTACTGTTGCACTTACTGTCATTATAACCAGGGCACTGAGCGCACCAGACAAGACAATTGACTTAGGGTGACGCATAGCCATAAGAGCTGCTATTATAAACGTCTCATCCCCAATCTAGCATAAGAAATTTCAGTTAAAAGCCATAACCCAAACATAGAAACAGGTATCACTTAAAATAAACATTCTTAATGACATAATCGCAACTATTTGTTACAATACAATAATTTTGGTTAGCATTAGTTAATATAGTTGAGTTAGTTTGCATAATTATCGATTAGCAACTAATCGGTTTCTTTCCCTAGCCTCTATAAATCGCACATTACCTTTGTCTCACACTTCACTCATTCAATCAATTTCAATTTAGTTTACTCTCACAATACTCATCTCTTAAATTTCTCTAGCTCCCGCCATCCTTCACGAATCAATACAACGAGATAAAAACGAAAATTATTATATAAAAAAATAAATAAAAAAAACTCTCGTTCTTGAGATCCGAATTGTATCCAGAGAAAACGCCTGACAACACGTTAGCTATAAATACATAGTTAAAATCAAGCGATGAATGCGAGCACAGCGAAGCTTCGTTAAACTAACCTCACTGACAATGATCATCGACAAACTCGCGAAAAAAGCATCGAAGAGTCCAGGACCGGTGGAGTCCAAGCCAAGAGAAAGAATCGAATCATTCTCCAAAGCATTCAGCGCAATCTGTTCACATAAAGCACACAAATATTCATTTCCAGTTTCCATGCATTCGATTCAGTTCTATCTACAATTCAAACACCGAACAAAGCAACAAATAACGGTTAAAAAATGGAAAGAGAGGCGACGGTTGCTTACCTTGCCGCGGCGACCGAGATCCACGGATCCGCCGGAATCTTCCTTCGCGCTCTGAACGAGAGAATCCTTAACATGGAAAACAAACGCGTTATGGACGCGATTCGTGCGTGGAAACGCGAAGAACGAAGGAGAGGAAAATTACCTGAGCGAAGGTCGGCGAGAGGTGGAAGAAGACAGAGATGAGAAGGAAGAGGCGAAGAGCGTGAACGATTCTTCGATTGTTGAAGCTCGGAGCCATAGCGAGGGAAGGAACGAAGCGGTGGAGAGAAAATTAACGGAAAGAAATATTTTCTCGGGAAAGTGGAAAGGAAAATTTGAGTAAAAAGGATGGAAAGGTAGGGAAA